TGTATCCTGAAGGTTTTTCTCCATGTTTTGATATGTTTGTGAATTTCTTGCCATTTCTGATGCAGCATTATGAGTATTATCTTGTTTTTGCTAATGTGTAGAAGGATAACAATATAAACAGTTAAATGAATAGTTCAAAACATGTCCTATGTAGTGTAGATGGGGTCTTAAAGTAACTTCAGTTTCATTCTACCAGGTAATATTAAACTCAAAGTGTTAATTTTAAATGTTATTTCCTGTGAGATGTTCATCCTATTATTCAATAGCTTTAGCTGAATTTGTGATCTATCTGTGATATATGCACACCTTTACTCTAATAATATATTTTCAAGAAAAAAAAAACACCTTTTGTTTTGTTTATTTGCATGTCTCCCCCCCCTTTAAGTTTAAACCTAAACTTTTCTTAATTAAGATGTTAATTGGTTGTGGACATTCTTACATTGAAAGACTTAAAAGTTAAAACATTTGTTGTTGCTGCTGCTTCTAGGTTCATATGGGAACGCACATGTGGAACAATGCTCCAGCCCGGAGGGGTCGGCGCCTGTCGGTGGAGAACCCCATGGCCTTGTTGGGTGGAGACGCCATGAAGTTCAGTGAGATGTTTCAAAAGGATCTGGCAGCTCGGGCCATGAACGTCGACCCCGGCTTCTGGAACCAGTACGCTGCTGTCATCACCAATGGCCTGGCCATGAAGAACAATGAGATTTCTGTGATTCAGAACGGAGGCATCACCCAGCTGCCCGTCAGCCTCGGAGGAGCAGGAATCACCTCTTTGGGAGCTATGCCCGGCGGGTTGGACCGTGTACACACTGGCAGCAGCCCTCCCATGACGGGAATGGAGAAGGCTGGTCTGGAGGTTGCAGCCAGCCGTCCGTTTTCAAGATACATGGAGGAGAACAAGGAAATTGGGATTAATTAGAAAACCTGTCTGTATTACCTAAGGTAGCAGTTTAACAAAAACTAAAAGATGAGAAAACTATTGGAGGGAAAGTGCTGATCCAGTTTAAACTCGTGCATATTAAACTGTGTACAGATTAAAGACGTTTTGTTTGATTTTGGAAATATAGTATTTAGTACTGATTAGGGGCCTTTGCCCTTCACCTTCCCCGTCTCACTTGATATTTGGTCTACACAAAGAAAACTTTGTCACTTGTTTGAGAAAATGTCGTCTTGCAAAATAATGCATGGTACTTATTTGTTTTTCTCCGTACGTTTGACTGCTTTTACGAATTCCTTTGAGAAACCAGGATCCTGCCCAGTGATAACGGACAAGCGTCACATCTGGACGGGACGAACACACTTTAAGAACAGTTTTCTTTAAAGACAGTTGGACATTTGTCTCGCAACTCTGTTTGTGGTTGCTCTTTTAAATACGAGGGCCCCGCTCGTTGACGGACTGAAGAACAGAATGAAGTTCAGTGTTTTTTGTGCTCGCCTGATATATATATATTATTTTCTCATGAACTAGAAAACTTGAAAAAACAACGTTTAAACTATTTTAATCTTTCCATTTAGTCTCTCAGCATTGTCTTATACTGTTGTCCCGTGTCCTTACTATTTATGACAATAACAAAAAAAGCGGGTATACAAAGTATATTTAACAGCCCAAGCATTTTATTCTTTTTTTTTTTTTTTTACTGCAGGTTTACTGCTGAAAGTCCCTGTCAATAAAGACAATGTGTCCTTTTATTTGAACAACGGAGAAAACTTGTAGGTTTTGTTTGGATATTTGTTGACACCATGTGTATCTTCTTATAGGATAAAAAGGCAAACGATATCCAAAGCTGCTATGACCACAACCCAGCTTTTAACCTTTGTAAAAATAAAAATAAAATCAAAATAAAGAAGAAAGAGGTGAAACTTTTGAAGAAATATCTATGTATAGAAATACAGACAAATCTAAAACAGGTATGCATATTTTGTATCACATAAAATAGACTTCATGAGTTGAGAGTATTTGTCATGTTTGTGAATGCACTTTTTAAAAACGAGACTTTTGTCTGTGAGTTACCGTTAACCTTTTGACCGATCTATCTATCTATCACGTGCTGTTTTTATTGTTTCCAGCCGACACTCCTCCAGCTCACAGAGTCGCTCCTCTGTTGTTGCATCTGTGCTACTCGTCAGAGTGCAAACTCATCACTCAATCAAAACCTTCTCCAATAAAAAAAGGAAACGAGCGTGTGTCTGAATGGCCTCCATATCTGCTGTTATTGACTCGTTCACGTCACGTTTTTAACTGTACGCATTAAACTTTGAGAGAAATGTGAACCAGAACTCTGGAATAATCACTTTTCGTTTAAAATAAATTGTTTTAAAATAGGTTTAGATGCCATAACGTGTTTAGAACTTTCATATGCAGCATATAAAAAAATAATAATAATTAAGTGTAATTTATGTGGTTAGTTTTTGTTTTATGAATAAGATACGTGTCATTTCTGGTTTATTTCAGCAATATTTATTTTAAACTTTTGGGCCACATCACTGTAAAATAACAGTTTCCACACCTTTCGTATAATTTCGGGGCAAATTCTCTTCTAAAAGCTAATAAAATTATTTTATTTTATGCTTTAATGTTGTTTTGAAGGAAAAAAAAAACCAAGATTTTATTTTATTCTGTTTACTTGTGTTTATTTATGAATAGATTGCACTTGTATATCATTTTAACCAGACAATTAAAACACAGTGATAACTGGTCTAAAACACCCAGCTTGTGAATAACAGCATATATTCTTATTAGACACAGATCGTGGGAATAAGATGTTTCCAAGTTTCCAAATTAAATTTAGTCATCTTTAAATAGAAAACAATTATAGAAGGTAACACTTTTTAAATCCTACAAGATAAAACCGACTTTGTAGCAAATACTTGTTGATCAGGATTTCTTTGTCAATAACAACATAAAATTAACATGTTTTTTAATTTGAATCAAAATAACCTTAAAGTCACTATTTTGTTCAATGTGATGAGAAGACGTAGTAATGAATTGTTTTGTTTAAAAAAATATGAAAAGATTTTTTCTTCCCAGGTTAAAACGTCTGTTGGAGCTGCTTCAGCAGTGTCCATGTGTGAGACGGCGCTTAGACTGAGCGAAGCTGAAGCTGCGCTGTACGGTGAAGTTACAGTGTGTGTGTGTGTGTGTGTGTGTGTGTGTGTGTGTCAAGTGGTGACAGCTTTCTCTCAGCATTCGGTCCTCCTGGTGCCGGACACTCGACACATGTTCCACATATGTGTGAACACACACTTGCACAATCTCACACCCTGACACAAATACCACTGTTCCCAGTTTTGCTAATAAAATAAAATAAATCAGAGAGAGAAACAAACATGTTCACGGTGAACAATATCCAGACACGTTATGTGCAGAATAAAAGAGAAGAATTCATTGAAATCGTAACTGTAGATTAATAACTACAGTATTTGTGGCAAATTACCAAAGTAATTTAGACTTGTGTTCATTACTACAAACATTTAAAAAATCTAAATGTTTTGCTGCTTTTACACTCCCACTCACATACAAACAGTTTGTCTAGTGAGAAACACTGATACCTTTAAAGAAGCTCGTCAAATTGGCTATTTTTAATTTTGTGCAAGCCCACTTTCACTTAGTCTCCTCAAAACAAACATGGAGCTGCTTTGTTCAGCATTTTTTATGTTAATTTATTTTTATCCTGCCACTGTCAAACATTATTTGTGTGCTAAAATACCAGTAGTGTTTATTTGAGAATAAAAAAAAAATGTTTTCACTGTATTTGAAATGTTCACCCTTTCACTCATGCAGACTATGTAGACTAAATCTGGAACGGCCTGTTTTATCATTTCAGCACTTCAGCCATGTGTCATATAATGAACCGTCAGCCAGATACTTTAGATTATGTGTCTAAATGTTTGGTGAGCACATGATTTCTTTATTAACATCAACTGAGATCAATTTGAAACCCAAATGTTTAAATGCAACTGCTACACTTTTTATATTGTATCTATTTATACAACCATGATGGATGGCAGCTGTAACTGTGTCACAAGCTTCAATATACTGAAACTATGAAATATCTTTATAATCTTCTTCTTTCAGCTGCTCCTTCTTCAGGGGTCGCCACAGCGAACTAACTCACATGAAGACTTGGAGATTTTTTTAACGCCGGATGCCCTTCGTGACACAACCACTGACCACCGAGCTACTCCAGCCACCTGTGTGGAGCAGAGAGCTGCTAGCTAGGGGTGCACGGGGAAGCAGATGGTGGGGGTTAAGGGCCTTGCTCAAGGGCCCAGAGTGGGGCAAATGAGCGTGGAGGCAGGTGTGGGTGCTTCACCTATCCACCCACATTTTGATGTTGTCGTTACAGGGAATTGGACCGGCGACCTTCCAATTACAGGCTCACCTGCTCTAACCTCTGTGCCACCACTCCCATGATATATCTTTATCTACAAAATATATTTGAATAATTTTGAAAGTGTAATAAAATGAGCAGAATAACATTATGATGGCTGAAATGCGGATAGTTTTTTTTTTGTTAACATGTTTCATATTTAGATAGACTTATTAAAATATATTTTTATTTCACAATTTATAAGGACTTCCCAAGCTCTCAGCTCAAACAGACATTAAAAAGAGACATTGGACTCATCTAATGTTTAAAAGCATTTTTAACAAGTCTGAGGATCACCATGATGACCTGGTGATGTTAGCATTAGCCTCCTGTAGTCTGCTGTGTTAGCGCAGGCCACAATGCATCATGGTATATTGTCACCAATGCAGTTTACAATTTATGTAAATGTTTTATTTTTATTTTCTTTATTGGATATAAAAACTGTAGTGAAATTTTTGAACAGCCTTACAAAATGGCCAATGGGCATATCAAACTGCCTTGCAGAACATGCAGACAAGCTAGGTGTCTTCTTTCTCGTCATTTTGATCGGTGCTGTAACCGTTAATGTGGTTGTTTCCTCCACCCAGTGGCACGGCACGACTATTTCAACATTTTTGTTAGACTGTGAGGATGGAAAGAAAAAATAGAGTAATATAGATAGGACTTTAGATTTTTAAGTCTTCGAGTGAAAGATCACGGCTGTAAACTTATTCAGTTTGCATGTGGAGAGCAGTAAATCATGTTTGGAGTCAAAAATGAATGATTCTAGCTGTTCAAAGTATAAAAATTAAAGTTATTGTTGCAAGGTTTTCAATGTGATTGTACACTTTGTCAAGCTTTTTTTTTTTAAACATTTAAAATACAACCAGCCTATATAGGTCTTGAGGGGAGTGCATTCACTGTGTGACCTCTATGTTGCTGGTAGTTTTGCCTCTTGAGAAGCTGGTACAGAAGTCTAATATCCACAAGTCACAGTTTTTTAGATATCTGCAGCTGAGACATTTTGTGAGGTCTAACTCTGATTGTTTTCCTTTGTACCCCTCTAAATATGTTGTGGTTAAGATTTTGGAATGCAGGTCTGATACCAAGGGGCCCTTAGTAAGATCTATACACTGCTTAGTTCATACCATGACACCAGTTTGGACTCCCTGAAACTGAAATGGGAAATGTACCTGGAGGAATCCATATCAGACTCAACCTGGAGAAAGATTATTAAGAACATTTCCTCATCTTCTAAAAACATTTACTCATTTTAAGTCTATCGGACATGCTGTAATTCAATTCACATGTGGCACTTGTCCAAACACAAGTTGTCTAAGATCCAAGCCAACCTGGACCCCGCATGTAATCAGTGTAAAGAAACTCCAGCTACTCTCCTGCATACATTCTGGACCTGTCTCAAACTGCAGAGCTTTTGGCAATCTATTTTTGACACCTTCTCTGGAATATGTGGCAAACCTGTACCCATCACCACTCGTCTCACTGTTTGGGGTGGTCCCTGTGGAGACGTCCTTCAGGAAGGACGAGAAGGATGTGATTGCTTTTGGCTCTCTTTTGTCCAGGATAATTTTTTGTGCATTTGGAAGGACCCACACCCCCAGCATATGTACAT